TGATTAAATCTTGCACCATCGAACTGTTTGCCATTGTCGGTAATGAGGGTGTTCGGTATACCGAACCGACATACTATGCTCTTCCATACAAAATTGACGACCTTCTCCTCGGTAATAGATGCCAATGGTTCGGCTTCCACCCACTTGGTGAAATAGTCTACTGCTACCACGGCAAACTTCAACTGCCCCTTCGCTGTCGGTAGTGGGCCGATTAGATCTATCCCCCACTGAGCGAATGACCAAGGACTTGAGATTGGCATCAACGTCTCCGGAGGTCGTCTCAAGATGTTTGGGAAGCACTGGCACTTGTCACATGCTTTTGCGAACTCCTTGGTGTCAGTGTTCAATAGTCGGCCAATAGTAGCCCTAGCGGATGACCTTGGCGGCCATGGACCGAGCTCCTCCGTGGTTCCCGCAATTCCTTCATGAATCTCAAGAATAATGTACCTCGCCTCCTCTGGATCGAGGTACCGCAACAACGGTAGAGAGTATCCTCTCCTGAAGAGCTTGCCTTCTTGCATCACGTAGTAGCCCTAACGGATGACCTTGGCTTCAATTCCGCGTTCGTGGACCATGAATCTGAGGAATTTTCCCGACGAGACCCCAAAGGCGCACTTGCTCGGGTTGAGCTTCATCTAATACTTTCGAAGTACGCTGAAGGCCTCTGCTAGGTCGGCCAAATGCGAGCTCGTCTGCTTGCTCTTTACCAACATGTCATCCACACACACCTCCATGTTGCGTCTGATCTGTTTGGTGAACATCATGTTGGCCATCCGCTGGTAGGTTGCTCCGGCGTTCTTCTGACCAAAGGGCACGTTGTAGTAATACAGCCCTTGGTCGGTAACAAATGAGGTGTGCTCTTGGTCAGATGCATGCATCCGGATCTGGTTGTACCCGGAGTAGGCGTCCATGAAGGAGAGTAGCTCGTGCCCTGCTGTTGCGTCGACGAGCTGATCTATTCGAGGTAGGGGAAAACTATCTTTCGGACACACCTTATTGAGGCTCGTAAAGTCGATACAGACACGTCACTTGCCGTTAGACTTTTTAACTAAAACAACATTGGACAGCCACGCGGGGTAGTGAACTTCTCTAATGAAATTAGCTCGTAGCAACTGCTCGACTTCTTTACAAATTACATTGCTTCACTCGGCGTCGACAGGCCGACGCTTTTGCCTTACCGACCTATAGTTAGGATCTACATTAAGCCTATGCACCATTATACTTGGGTCGATGCCCGACATGTCGTCATGAGACCATGCAAACACGTCGGAATTTGCCTTAAAAAAATCGATGAGCTCTTCCTTCATTTCGGCCCCCAATCTGCTCCCGATGCTAACCTGCTTATCCGACCCCAGCAGGGGGACAAGTTCTAGCTCTTCTGCTGGAGTGTCGTGGCTGGCCTCGCCGGCATGTGGTGGCGCAATTGCTTCTAGCTCCATGATTGCTGCACAAGTGGCGGTCCCCTTCATTGCAGCTGTGTAACATTCTCTCAATGTTTTTTGCTCTCCTCGGACCGTTGCGACTCCAGTTGGGGTCGGATACTTCAGCACTTGATGGTAAGTGGATGAGACTGCTTTAAGGTTGTGAATCAGAGGCCCACCAAGTATGGCATTGTACGTCGAGCTTCGATCTATTACAACAAACTCTGTGACTTTGGTCACCTGCTGATCTCCTTCGCCGACGGTGACAGGGAGAGAGATACATCCTTCCGTGCTAACTGACTCCCCTACGAAGCTGACCAAAGGTGTCGGGCTATGCTTCAAGTGTCTTCTTTCCCACCACAGAGTCGTCTAGGTCGAGAAAGACAATATATTAGCCGACGCCCCGCTGTCTACAAGAACTCTTCTGACCTTCACATGGTCTATCAGTGGGACGATTACTAAAGCGTCGTTATGGGGCATATACACCTCTTCGCTGTCCTGCTCRTCAAATAAGATTGGCATCACGGGCTCCTTCGGGTACAAGGTACAAACCTCGTGTGCTGCTTCCCGGGCTAGAGCTTTTCTTTTTTGTCCTGACTGTCCCCCGCTCGAACCCCCGTGAATGGTGTTTATAACGACAAGACGATCTTTCTTCCGCCTGGGCGGCGGCGATCTTTCTCGCTTCTCTTCCCGAGCTGATCCTTCTAGCTCAGCTCTTTTTCTACTGCCGAGTACTTCTTCAAATAGCCTCTCCGGATCAAATCCTCGACCTGCTCCTTCAAATGGAAGCAACGAGAAGTGTCGTGGCTGTGATCTTTATGGAATCAGCAGTAGAGTCGCTTGTCTCGCTTCCCTGGAGGTTGGCGGAGCTTTTCTGGGGCCGCGAACAGCGCTTCCAAGTCGTTGTCCTCAGCTGCAGCATAAATCTTCGTGATTGAGGCATTCAACGGACTGAACCTATCGAACTTCAGCCCTCGACGATCTGAAGGGACCCTCTCATCACGTCGACCTCTATTCTTGTTATCGTCGGCTCGTCGAGACGAACTTTGATCATCACCACGTTGCTTCTTGGGAGGAGGAGACTTTCAGTCCCGATCTTTACCGCGGCTGCTCCGCCTGGCTTCGTTGGCCTTCCACAGCTCCAGTCCATCAATGTATTGGCAAGCTCGGGCGAGCATCTTGTTCAAGAAGGCCGGCGGACGGCTTCCGAATTCTATCGTCAAATTTCTGTCGTGAAGTACATCATGGCGATGTCGTCGGTACAACTCACCACCTTGACATGCTCGTCCATGAACCGAGCGATGTACTCCGTCAGGGAATCATTATCTCGTTGCTTCACTGTTCCGAGGTGAGAGGGAGGCAACTTCAACAATTGTCGAGCTGAGAACTGATTGATGAACAACCTTTTCAGCTGTTGATAACTGTCAATGGACCTGAGCTTCAACTGTCGATACCATAACCTTGCTGAGCCTTCAAAAGCTATTTGGAATGCCCGACACTTTATAGCGTCAGTTGCGGCAAAAAAATCCATCTTTCCCTCGAACACCTCCACGTACGAGATGAAATCGCCAGACCCGTCATAGGAGCTCATGACCGGAGCCTTGAACCTCGGCGGGATAGGCGCATCCATGATTGCTTGGAAGAAAGGTGGCTCCTCTTACTCGACCACACGATGCGGATCCACAGGCCTACACTGTCGCTTGAGATCTTCTATCTCCTTCTAAAACTAGTTCCGGATGAGGTCCACCTCGGATCGAAATGAGTGATCGCACT